GAGAGAGAGAGAGAGAGAGAGAGAGAGAGAGAGAGAGAGAGAGAGAGGGCGGGCTTTCCCCTGTCAGGAGGGCCTCCTTGCATCTGGAATGGTACCTGGTACAGAGGATTGACTCCATAGACATCTGGAATAGTGAAGGGATGGAGTCTTGAACACACATGGTGAGGCAGGGAGCATTGTCTGCAGAACGACCGTGAGCCCAGCGCATCAGGTTGGGCTCTGACCACTGACCTCACTGGCATCTGAAGGTCTGCCATTGTGGGATCCCTGGCTCCTATGAGTTAACATAGACCCAGGAGAAGCCAAGACCACCCAGTGGTGTGTCCAGGATGTGGGACCAGGGCTGCCTTCTATTGGCTTCCCCCTGTAGGTGTCAGACTTGCCTTGGCATGGGGGCCACCATCCCTGGGCAGCAGTTACCCACAGGGGGCGCGCCTCGTTGGGGGCAGGGGAGGGGGCTGGCCTTGGAGTCATGGTTCAGATTCAAGAAGGGAAATCATCCGAGCTTTTAAAAAATTAAATGGAGTCAGTAATTTGATTTCAGAGAGAAGCTGAAAACCCCGTAATGGCAGGAGCAGCTCAATTCCGTGGTGAAAAGGAAAAGCCTTAAATGGGGCTATTAAGCTTTTGCCTGGGATGGATCTGCCCGGAGAAAGAGGAAGGAGGGGGGCACGCAGGGGGGAGAAGTCATCTTCGAGGTAGGGACCGTTTATCAGCCAAGACAACCCTGATTATTTATTTATTTATTTAGTTCGCGTTCTGGGCGGGCACGGCCGCCTGGCCTCCTCTTCTTGGCTGCGTTTCAAACCCCACTTCCAGCCACAGTCGGTCTGGAGGGGGTGAGGCACCGCCCTCTCAGGGAAGCACGGAGTGGGGTTCCGCCCAGGCCACAGCTGGTCTCCCAGGCCACTGAGTTTGGGAGCTCTGGGTCGCTGCAGGTCAATGGATCTGTCCAAGCCAGAAGGGTACCAGCCGCTGCCATAGAAACCATAGTTTGTGCTGAACAGCAAGCCAAGCAGTGACACTCCATCCTCCCTCCCCGGGATTCCAGCATGCTTGTGCAGGGCTCGGTACCCAAGGCTTTATGTGATTCTTGTTCACCTCCTTCAATAACCCCACCGGGGAGGAACGAGTATCATTTCCCCTCCATTGAAGAGGAAACTAAGGCTCAGAAAGGCTAGTGCCCTGCCAAGGTTACAAAGCTAGAGAGGAGACTCTGGGGCCAGAGCCCTAGACACGGGTGGGCCTGGCTGTAGGCCTGCACACTGCCCAGACGCCGGCCCAGATTTAATAGTGAGCTGTGAAGCACAGCTGGGCCAGCTCAGGGAGGCCAGGGGCTCCTGTCCTGTCGCAGCCGTCTTCTGAAGGGAAGCAGGAACATACCAAACTGTGTCCTTCCTTCCCTTTGTGCCTCCCCTCCCTGGACACTCTGACTCACCGCTGATGTCTCTAGAAAGACTCAGCACAGGGGCCTCTTGAGCCCCCCCCCCCCCCGCCACACACACGCGCGCGCACTAAAGCTCAGGAAGCTGATGGCTCTCAGGGGTGGGGGGCCAACCTGGCCTCCATTGACTCCTGACCACCAGGGAGGGGATTCCAGCTTCACTGGAGCGGAGCAATCTGCTTTCTGGGGGAGCCAGAAGGCTTTGGGTGTGTGGAGGCAGGGGGCTGGCTGTGTATGGGTGGCCAGGTCTCGGGCCATGTTGGAGCTGACTCAAGCTGTAGGGTCCTGTCTGCACTTTCAGAAGGGGTTGCAGGCTTCTCAAAGGTAGCAGTCAGAGGGTCCCTGGGAAGTACTGTCTGAGGATCTGCTGGGCCCACACTGTGCCTCTCGGGGAGCTCTGGACTGGAGGTCTCCAGGTGGGCACTGGCATCTGACTGTCTCGCTCTCCGGGTGGTGAATATGACATCAGTCCCGGGCAAGACAATGAGTCCCAGCCCTTCTGTACCCTGACTTGGTTTTGAGGTTGACAGATCCAGGTACCCTCTGACCCCTTCTCCAGATGGATCTTGTTCATTCTGCAGTGGCTCCTCAGCCTTGATTATTGGTAGTATCTCCTGAGGCCTTCTAGGAGCACGGTAGAAAATCAACCCCTCTTCATCGAGGCGGCTCCTGAAGGGCCTCGTCAATGGTGGGAATTCCTCGCTGATGTGGGCAGGATCCCTTGGGGTGGGATCCACAGACTCTGTTGATTTCACAGTCTCTCTCGACAATTGTTCCAGTGGGAAGAGACTGCCTGATGGCTGTGCAGGGTCCTTCTCAGTCGTCATGACTCTTGGAACTTCGGTTAGGGGAACAGATGGTTCAGAATCCAGCAGCATTCGGGGCCCATCGGATCGCCAAGAAGGCCACAGAGGAGAGGGGGCTTCTGAAGACAAATGTGTGGTCATGGAAGCGCGAGACAGGAAGACCGCCTGTGAAGGTCTGGGGCCGGCCTGGGAAGCATCCCTGTGCTCTGAGGAGAGTGTAGCTGGAGCCCAGAGATGTGGAATTAAATCTGCCTTTTTTGGAGGAATCTGAGGACCATGATGCTCTTGCCTTGCACTGGTGGAAAAGGAAGCAGTGGACATCCAGCTTCCTCCTTCCAGTGGAGCCGTTTGCATGAACGGCGCTGCTGGTTCCAGCTGCAGAGAGAGAAAAAGCATCAGAAATGAAAGCATATGGCCCTAGCAACCCTGTGAACCTCAGCCCAGAGAAGGATGTGGGAGCAGTGGCCTCAGGCTGGGCTTCTAGGCCTGCCTTCAGGACCCCCATCTCCAGACTGTTGGAGCGTGCCTCAGTTTATGATCCCCTTGTGAATACAGCAACTGTCTCTACCACTACATTCTTCAATGCGAGTCAAGCAGGACAGACGAAAGGGCCCTGCCCCTAGGTGGAAGCATGTTAGGTCCCTGCCTTCCCTGGGAAACATTCTGAATTTGAGGAAGAAATGTGACCGGGGGATCTCAAAGTGTAGCTATCCGTGAATAAAGGGTAGTAAGAGAAAGGGTTTAGGCAAAACTAAAGCCATCCCCGCCTCATGGGGACCAGATCCTTGGGTAGGGAACAGAACGCGGAGGACACGGCTGTGGATTTGCCTCGGTGGTTTCTTTAGCCGACTGGTGCACAAAACGCCGAAGGGGCTCATCCTGAGCAGCCACTCGCGGGATCTGGAACTGGGGAGAGGCAGCAGGCGGCGGCAGTTCTGCTGAAACAGTCTCCCATCCAGGGGACAGGGTGGGTTGAATCGCCCTCGGTGTAGCTGTTGAGACAAGTGACTCTTCTCTTGACCCTTCCAAATGGAAAGCAGAAGTCAGCCACCCCCTAGGGAAGCAAAATCTTCCTGCCACGGAAGCATTCATCCATTCCCCAAAGAACAGAAGCCTGGTGGTTAGTACCCAGCCCTGGGTTAGGAGCTGCCTCACGGCTGAATCTCACAGAGCTTTGAAATTAAATTATCTGTGCTAGAAATGCAAGTAAGTTGGCAGAATACTTGCTTAACATCACAAGTCCTTGAGTTCAACCTCCAGAATGACATAAGCCAAGTACGGTGGCTCACACCGGTAACCCCAGCAAGTCAGAAGGTGTTGGCAAACGGATCCAGTCTGGATTTGAGACTCTGTTTCAATGAACAGAGTCTAATGAACTTAGAGCACATAAATCCAGTTTTCTGCAGAGATCACCTGACTCCATTCACTGCCCAGCCTGAATGCTACCAGCTGGTTTCATCGGAGAGCCATCTCCTATTTTGAGGTATAATACATTGATCGGTCCAACCCCAGAAATCAATCAGAACCGGGTAGTGTTGCCTGCCTGACCATTCTCAGGTTAAACAGCGCAAGCACTGCTGATATGCTAGACCAGACCATACTGTCCCGTGTTGGGGGGGCATCTTTTACATTCTAAGATGGTCATCAGCATCCCTAGCCTCTGCGGACCAGGTGCCGGTGGCATTCTCCCAACACGCTAAGTAGCAACTCCTAATCCACAGGTCCGGCAGGCTGTAAGGTGGTTAAAATGGTGAGGTTTTGTAGGGATTTTGTGTGGTTATGTCTGAGACAGGCTTTCCATAAGTAGCCTAGGCTGTTCTTGAACCCATCCTTCCTCCTATTCAGCCCCCCAAGCTCTGCAATCACAGGCATGAGGCACCATGCCCAGGTCTCAGAGAACGCTTCCTATCATCAGCTTCACACAGAACAACGGACAGACTGGGCCACCATGGTCTACCTCCTTACAAGGCAGAACCCTCTCAGATGCATCCCCAGAGAAATCAGGCCTGTCTTTTTTGGGGGAGTCTACTGACTCCTGCTGCCCGGACTGCCTGTCGCAGCTTCCTATCCTAAACCCCACTGTGGCTTTATCCCCTTCCCCTGGGTCCTGGATGCCCTTACCCTCACTGGGTATGCTTCTTACCTGACCCCCACCAGCACTTCACCCAGGTCTTCTCACTCACCGTCTCAAGATGTTTTTCACAGGGAAACTACACGTGCCACACAGCACATGTAAAGGTCAGAGGTCACTTATTCCCTTTTGCCACGTGGGTCCTGGAGATCGAACTCAGGCTAGCAGGCTGGGCAACAAGCACCTTTACCTGCTGAGCCATTTTGCCAGCCTTCACCCAGTCTTTGGAAGATGAAGGCACCCCTCACTTCCATGGCCACACCTCCACTTCCATGGCCACACCTCCACTTCCATGGCCACACCTCCACTTCCATGGCCACACCTCCACTTCCATGGCCACACCTCCACTTCCATGGCCACACCTCCACTTCCATGGCCACACCTCCACTTCCATGACCACACCTCCACTGCCTTGGCCACACTCCGCTGCCACAACCACACCCGCACTGCCATGGTCACACCTCCACTGCCATAGCCCCACCCACTGCCATGGCCACACCTCCACTGTCATTGACTTTCTTTTCAGGGGTGGGCACCCCGCTTGCTCCATTGTTCTCAGAAGCTGCCACCTGAAACTGTTAGGATGCTCTTGAACACCCTTTGGGTTTGATTTTCATTTTGTAAGGGAGAGGGAGATTTTAAAAAATCTGTAACTTGAGACTGAAGAGAAGGCTTGGTGTGGCTAAGAGCACCTGTTGCTCTTTCAGTGGAACCTGGGTTCGGTTTCCAGCACCCACATGGTCTGTCACTACCACCTGTAACTCTAATTCATGGAGCTGATGCCCTCTTCTGACTCAGAGGGCACCAGGCATAAACATGGTATACAGACACATGTGCGGGCGAAACACCCACCCGCAAAAACTGAAACGAACCAAAGTCTAAAAGAAAGTCCCAGAACTGCAAGAACGTGGGCGACCCATTCAGAGTCTGACTCACGAGTCACGGATTGACAGAGGAAAGACGTTTTGTAAAAATTCCTGGTAAAAATCGGGTCTAACCGGCACTTATAAGAAAGCGGTTGCTAAAGCAAAGGCTGAAGGAAAGCTGTGTGAGCCGCAGCCCCGATCTCCACCCAGGTTTCTAGACTGCAGGGAAAGGCAGGAGCGGAGAGCGGAGACTATAAAAAGAACTGAGAGCTCTGGAAGCTGCAAGGAGGTACAGAGGAGGTGCACTGGGGACCAGGGAGAGGAGAGACTCATTCCGGCTGCTGATATGAAATTAATAAAACCAGAAAGGGAACATTCTTTCCCCGTGTAAATCTTCCCAGGGAGGGAGGGAAAAAAATCCTCCTAAAATGTTTTTATTGCTGTTGCTATTTTTGTATTTTATTCATTATTTCCCTGTGAACAACCTACCTACCCTTCCGAGGTTAGAACAAAGTCCATCTCATCTCTGGCACCTCCCACTGGGTCCACCTGCCCTCCACACGGCTCCAGAGACATCTCCTATCTCCCCTTACAGGCTGCTGGAGAGACCCCATCCGGTGGCCTCGGCTCCCTCCCAGCTCTCTCTCCCATCGCAAGTGCCTGCTGAATCCTGGCCGGGTAGAGTTCCAACCCCCGCCCCTTCCAAAATCAATATCAGTGCTGCAGGAAACTGCTAAAACAAAAGCAGCCGAAACATGTAAAAACTTTCGAGAAATATTTCCATTTTTAGCAGCCGGTTAGCACTCGACCCCGTCCTCACGCCCCACCCCCCCAGCCCATCCCGCCTTTGTCTTTGTTTCGGAGTTTGGGGCTAGATGTGGTAGGCAGTCCCCCTTTTAATCTTTAAATATAGTTCTGAATATAATTACATTTTTATGCAGCACCGAGACATCATATCCTGGTAACGGGGCATTCTTGCACTATTAACATCTGAGTTCAATCTCCTTCCCGTCTGTCTTCTATTGAGGACAGTTAGGAAGTCCTGAGATGAAAGTGATTGACATCATTTGTGAATTATGTGTATTTCCTCGTGCTGGATCTGAATGGGTTTTGCTCCTGGTGGTTTTGCATGTGTGAATACCAGGTTGTCTGGTCGTCCGGCATTCACTGAAAGCCCCTTCAAGACAGGGTGGCGGCATCCCTCGCGCGTGCACGTGCGCGGGAGCTCGCACGGTGTTTACAGGGCAGCTTGCTCAGATGAAGGACACAATGCAGAGGCTTGTGCAAGCAGTCTGCCAAGCAGTTTGAGGTACCGACCGACCTGAGGCACTGAAGCCCACACAGAGATGGTGGGACACACTTAAATGGAAGTGAGACATCCTGTATCAGGTTCTCTCTGCATCACCACCTTTTAATGTAGCTCTGTGACAGGCTCTGGGATCCTTAGGCTCCAGATTGAAAAAAAAAAAAAAAAAAAAAAAGCCGAGTGGGAACTAGGGATGAAGCTCAGTGGGCAGAGTGGTTGCCTAGAACAGGAAGCCTGGGCTGATCCCAGTACTTCATAAACTCACCATAGTGGCCAGTGCCTGTAACTTTTGAGGCCTGGAGGCAGAAGGACCAGAAATTCAACGAGATCTTTGACTGTGTAGTGAGTTCAAGGCTAACCTGGGCTAAATGAGTCTCTGATTGTCTCAAACAAAACAAAACCTGAGGCAATGTTCAGAGAAGTGATACGTGTCTGCAAACCAAGCACCTAGGAGGCTGAGGGAATTTAACACCAAGGCTAAACACTAAGACCTGGTCTCAAAATTAGAAACAAACCGGGCAGTGGCAGTGCATTCCTTTAATCCCAGCACTTGGGAGGCAGAGACAGGTAGATCTCTGTGAGTTCAAAGCCAGCCTGGTCTACAGAGAGAGTTCTAGGACAGCCAGGGCTGTTATACAGAGGAACCCTGTCTCAAAAAAAAAAAAAAAAAACCCACAAAATTAATTAATTAATTAGTTAAAAAATAAAAATAAATATTAATCAGTAAGGCATTTACCACACCAGAATAAGAATGATCTGAGATCAGATATTTAAATCCCTTGTTTGAAAAAAAATAAATAAAAATAAAAAGGCCGTGGAGCCGGAGAGATGGCTCAATGGTTAAAAGCACTCACTAACTGCTCTTCCAGAGGACCCGGGTTCAATTCCCAGCACCACATGGTAGCTCACAACTGTCTGTGACTCCAGTTCCAGAGCACCTCCCTGTGAACCAGGGGAAAACATGCAGGAAAAACACTTAGGCACATAAAATTGAAAAATACAAGGCTAAATGTTCTTAAAGCCTGGTGCACCTGTAATCCTAGTAGTCAGGAGACAAAGGCAGGAGGATTCTTGATGCTTGCTAGCTGGTCAGAGTAGCTGTCGAGGTAGGCTCGAGGACCAGTGAGAGACTGTTGAATGAGTAAGGTAGACACACTGGACATTAACCTTTGGCTCCCAAATCCATGTGCACATACACATGCACACACACATATACACATGCACACACACATATACACATGCACACACACACATATACACATGCACACACACATATACACATGCACACACACACATACACATGCACACACACATACACACACACACACACACACACACACACACACACAGTCGAGCAGTCGAGGCTGAGCTGGGAAGCCGATGCACTCCCGCCTCTGTCTTCCTTTTCGCCATTCAGGACCTAGGCCTCTCCAGTGCCAGCAGCCTACTTGACAGAATCACTAAGTTGCTCAGATGTGGGAGCTCTCGGTCCAGAGAATGAATACTGCAAAAGGAGAATGAAACCAGAGCAGGGAACGAGACCACGGGTGGCATGAGCCTGTCACCAGCAGGCATGCTTTCAGTTCTCCTCACTTACCCACACACTGGAAAAAGTTCTCCACTCTCCAGTGTACTGGGGAGACCATCTCCGCAAAGGCCAGGCTCAGGTCCACCCTGTAGAACGCTTGTGTCCCTGGGGATTCTCTGGCATCTGGGCATGGCTGTGGGACAGCAAGGCATTGGTTCTATGTGACAAGATACATCCCATGTCCCCTGACTGTCCCTGCTGGGGCCACCTCCTAAACAAAATTAAGCCTCTAGGACATTAATGGTGAGGCCAACCCCCAGCCAGCCCCCAGAGACCTGCTTTCTAAATTTCTGACTTCGGGCTCAACCAGTAGCCCAAGAAAGAGGTCTCTGAGGAAGAATCAAGGCAATAACACCAGGATGCTGACCTGGTCCGGGAGTAGCAGCCCGGCTGGGATGCTGACGACCACAAAGTCTCTGTCCTCGGTCACCGTGAAGGTGTTGGACTGGTGCACCCGCAGGAACCTGGGGCTCAGGGACTCTTCCACACGGAGTCCTCTCCTAACCAGACCCAGTCTCTGCTTGGGGATGTAAACTGAGACCTCTGACCCTGGCTGGGATGACACTGGAACCAGAAGGAAACACAACTCAGAACACAAGCTACAGGGAGGCAGGGCCTTAGCCAGAGCCACACCTGAGGCCAGACCACACAAAATTCAGTTTATTTTGACACTGGAACTTGATGTCCCAAGAAAAGAAGGAAGGGAGGGAGAGAGAGAGAGAGGGAGGAAAGGAGGAAGGAAAAAAGGAAGGAAGAGAAAGAAAGAGAGAAAGAGAGAAAGAAAGATAAAAGGGCCACCCTGTCTAGCTCTCAGAGGATACTGCCATTCGAGAAGGTCGCTGGAAAAGCAGGTGCCAGGAGCAGGCTGGCAAAGGCCAAGAGTGCAGTTCATGGCCCTGCCTGGTCCCCCTCCCATGGCAAGCTGCAGGTAGGGGCAGCTCGCACCAGGTGTTTACACTTTAGCAAGAATTTTGTTGTGCCAGCTCTCTCATGGGGTGTTCCGAGCCGGCTCTGCAGTTGCTAAATGAAAAAGCATTTGCCTCCAAATAAAGATATTTCAAACAGTACCAACAGGGCGGGAGTGTATGGATTTGGCAAGGACATCAAGGCTGCTGGACTCCCCAGAGTTCTCATTCTGAGACTTACTTCATGATAAAATTCTCATCAAACCTGCAGTGTTCCTCATCTCTCACCTGCCCTCACAGGACAAAGCCTTCAATCCATCTAACTTCGCGTAGTGAGAGCTTTAGAATTCAGATTCCTGGAGGTCATCAAATGCATCCAGATTCCTGGCCTCCTCACAGTGAAGAGGTGCATGGGAAGGGAGGGTATCACCTCAAAGTCTTGCAGAATATGACCACAGACCCTTTTCCATTTCTGTCCTCAGAGTCCCTAGAGGCTGCCTGGGACCCCCAGAAGTTCTCAGATCCCAGATCTGCAACCCTCAGTAGATAGCACTGTTCACAGTCGCACTTGACACGCCGCTCGGACTGTTTCCACGTCCATAGTCACACCACATGCCATTCAGACTGCTCCCAGGTCC